TCTTCTACCATTGAAGATATCCTACTATAATCTAGTCTACAAATTGATTACTAAAATTCTTGCTAAATGATTAAAGAAATGCTTGAGCCATTTCATCAGTAGCAATAATGCATTTAAGAAAGTTAATTTTCTTGAGTGTTAGTTTCAAGACTTAAACCTTAAATCTAACCTAGCTAATGATGCTTAATTACTAATGAATCCAACTATTGGGGTTTGAAAGGTAAATGACTTAACGGTCCAATTAAATAGAAAACAGCAAAATGACACAATATGCCTTCCAAAGTAATTTAACTTTCTGTAGTAAATTATGACAATAAACGGTTAAGAGCAGTGCTAGGGGCACTCGCTTTTTGCACTCTCCGACCCACACTTCCCCTTTCATTGGGCCACGTAAGCTTCTTTAAAGCTTTCAAGGGCAACCTCTCGGAAACCAAAATATCGTGACCCAATAGAAGAGAAAGTGTTGGCCGGAGAGTGCAGGAGGCGAGTGCCCCTAGCATTGCTCAACGGTTAATTGCTAATGGAATAATATATAAAATATGATAAGATAGGATACAAATAGATGTATAAATGATTAACTACTAGAGTTTATAATCAAAGGTGAATTATGATTTATAATTCATGGTAAACATAAACATTTGCATTTTATTAACATATTACAATTTACACATTAATTTTTTTTATCATATCTAACCAATTCTAGCTAACTTACCAAATAGTAATAAAAACAATTTAAATCAAATGTCATAAAAAAATAAATGAAGAAAGTTAATGCTAAATACTCAAGTAATTCCAGGGTTATCTCTTTTTAATAATTGCATTTTATTAACATATTACAATTTACACATTAATTTTTTTTTATCATATCTAATCAATTCTAGCTAACTTACCAAATAGTAATAAAAACAATTTAAATCAAATGTCATAAAAAAATAAATGAAGAAAGTTGTACCAAACACTCAAATAACTCAGGAATTATCTTTTTTTAATAAAAGTAAGAGATTTTCATTTTAAGTTGTAGTATGTAGGTGAATTAATAAATAGAAAAGAGCTACCTTTTGTAACCTAAAATTAAAAGAAAAAATTTAGATATCAACATTTAATATAATGATCAGATTTTAGTTTCTAGATGTAGATTAGGAGCCCAATTATTTTTAGGAGTTGAAACTAATGTGCATTAACCTTTATAATTAATATATCTTTCTTGGTAATATATAATTATTATATGGAGGTTGGTGTAATGCAAGTTGTCCTCTTTTTCTTTTTTTGGAGGATATGCTTAAAAATCTATATTCTAATTAATATTTTAAAATTAGTGTGTATCAGTCCCAACCCTAAAAAAATTAGAATACTAACTTACCTTTAGAAACTAAAATCTCAATTCAAAATTTAAAAATTTACTTTATTAAATATAGATACTTAAATTTGGAAACCAATTATATATTTTAATATAATCAATGTTCAAATCTAAATATAAATATTTAATAGGATGGAATATGGATTTTTAAATTTTAAATTAAGTTTTAATTAAATGAAAAAACTAATTTAAGGTTGCAATTCTAATTTATTTTGGAAGTCGGAATTAATATGCATTTTTCACTTAGAGAAACTAAAATAACTTGTTTTTAAAGCCAAATCTGTTATTTAGCCCCTTAATATTATTATTATGTTTTTTGTAGTCAACACCCTCTAACTAGTCTTTTAAATTTTCCATTTCAATTTTCAAATTAATTGAATATATAATTAATTAATTGATTATAGAAAATTTACTACCATTAAATCTATATTGGAAAACATAAGTTTCTTGATTGAATGATTATAGATATTAGATTAATTTAAAAAT